TTCAGCTTTCAACTTTTGATATTTTGTAGCTCTCTTTTTTATTTGAAATCCCACTTGAAACCACTTCACAGTCTTCATTGAAGAGAAGACTTTACCTCCCATTTCCATGTCAGAAGCGAAGTTTAAATCTTTCCGCCGTTCCAAACTTAAGTCGCGGAAATCAGCAGACGTAAGGCCAACAAACTTATCGATCCTAATAGCAAGCAGGGAATACTCAGACAAAAGATGGAAATTTCTTTGAAAGCCCTATGTTAGTAATCTTCTCAGTGCAACGTCAGTGTAACATAATCCTTTTTGTGCATTGATGGTACATATTTTTCTTATTACGTCAAAGCAAATTGATTCAATCATTTTCTATTATTATTTATCTCATCAAATTTAGAATGCGTCTATGCTACATATTTGTGCTGCTCGTTTTATTGTTCTAAGTGTAACGATTTCCATGCAGGAAATTACTTAAGGAATAAAATAAGGAGTCTTGAAACATAGTTCACCCACTTCGCTGACGGTATACAACAGTATTTTAAGTATTAATGTTTTCAGTCACTTTGGTTACTCTCATTGTTTACAGGGATAGAATTTGCGCTGAAGTAGGTATCAACATTTTGCGTATTTATGGATCTTCAATTTTCAATTTCTAATATCTTGCTTTACTCACTTTAAACAAGGAGCGTATATCTCCTTTAAGAATTTTTGACAGAACCTGTCAAAAACCATCTCGTGAGCGTTTCTCATCGCTGTGTGGATGTCTCGGCAACGACAGAATATGTCATTTTCTACTATCTCTGAAACGCATCATGTGTTATTCATCACGCCAAAGCATAGTCAAGCAAAGAGTTGTAGATAGAGGCGTGCGCAGCCTAAAGTATTGTCGCCTACTACATTTCTGTGGCCCTCTGTCTTTCTGGGCTCTCTTTTCTATTAAATATGTTCATTTACAAATAACTTATTTTGAATACAAAACAAGGAGAATGAAATAATTTTAATGATACTAAAATTACAGAAAAACATTACTTTTCTCGAACAAATTTCTGTGAAAGATATATTTTATTCGAAAAGTTTTCTTTTCTTATAAATAACTATAATATGTTAATATATTATATAAATTATTAATATGTAACTAGGATACGCAATAGTTTATATAAAGTTATATACGATGATTTTTACGTGAAAACCTCTAACAAGGTCCCCTATGTTCAAAATGTAAGCGAAAGTTTACTGTCAAGGAAACGTCCATGTCAGTAGAGATCATATCAGTCAACGAGAAAGAGTAGTATGTTAAACGGAAATGATAATATACTAGTCTCGCTACTTATGTCCACAGACTTCACCCTATAGGAAAAAACAAGCATACGAGTATCATTCTGAAGTCATTAGGGTGTAGTAAAATATGCCGCAAAATTCCAATTTGTATTGTCCTCAGACTTCTCTTCCTTCAGACTTCTCTAGCGCAAGGCTCATGCGATTTGAATTTTGATGCCAACCGATGTAGTATAAAAGGTTTCGAAAAACATAACAATCATACAAATGATAACTTTGCAACCTAGGCTTTGTCTCCAGCACCCTAATACACGTAATCGTAATACATTTAAAATATTCTTGCCTGGATCGCATATGATAAACAAATTAATTCTATAAATTCACTCATTTTCTTCACCACCAAAAAACTGAGCCAGAAGTCGACCTGGGCAGCCGAAATCGCTACGGCGGATGCGCTTTGGTTGTGTCGATACGGAGGGTCGCCATTTTGAATATCGCCTCAGGCACGGATGTTTGTTTTGTGTCTTGGCATGGTGAGGCTCACCCTACAGAGGAATTACAATAAGAAGGGACTAGTTTGACAGGTCGGGAAACAAATGTACCTCATTCAGAGCGATGTCATTGCAAGAGAGAGTGATGAATTCATTTACAAATGAGCTAACTGTAAACGAACGCATTGGCAAAATGACAGCATGAATACAAAGAGCACTTTTGTTGCTAGCAGTGGCCAAGCAATAACTGACAAAGGGATCCCTTCTTATAGGAATCTCTCTGTACCGTTGTTTCCCCTTCCAACAGGCGTGGGTGGCACTGGGGCTTGGGACAAGTGCGCCCATGTACACGTTACATTCGGATTGTGGGCGTCATTCCTACATAAGACCTAGAAATTGTGTTTTTGAATTGAATTGAATTTGCCTTATTTTACGTGGCGAGACTCGGGCCATCAGGCCAAAGAATCTGGGGCCGATCTGAACTACTGGCAAATTTCTTGCTAGCCTCACTTGTCACTCAACTGAGCACGAGAAGGAGGTATTTCTTGCGAGAAACAGCGAATTTGTAATTTAGCTCAGAGGCGTCATTTAGGCTTGAGGATCTTTATACATGCAAGTATCTGACTGAACATGGAGGAAACGGCCCGGCGCTTCACTTCCCTCGAGGAAAGGGTGTACGAAGGATTGTTTTCGCCCCTTAAAAAATCCACGGCTTCGATCGGGTTTGAACCCGCGAACTTGGGTACAACAGTCCGGTACGCTAACCGCCACAAGTGTTTTGGGTCATGGTGGAACAGACTCAACCATCATGTATCTTTTTCTAAAACACATTTACTACTTTCTCCAAGACATAAATACCGGCCTCCAAACCCTCCATCTGTCGACATAGTCGTTCGTGACACCTCGGCAATACACCAAAATGTACCAACAGTTTGGCGGAGAAGGGCGTGTGGGCTCCTATAGGCAGCCGAGGACTACCAAAATATAGTGACGGAGAGGAAATATCTGTACACGAGAATTGTGCTGTGGCGAGAGGGGTGGTTCGCTTAGAGGTCCGTAATGGGTAGAGCGTCCTGATCCAAAAACGTATACAATATTATTCAAACTTTGTCAGATACCTTCAGCCGCCAAGACGACACAGTCCGATAAAAGCTTTTCAATCTTTAAAAATTGATTTTCTTATAAGAGCATTTTTTATCCATTTATATTTTTTTGCGAGGAAGTAAAGTATATATAAGTTATCGATATATGGAAATGTAGCTCAGCATTTAAGTTGATAATTTCTTTCGAGATCATTGCTTGTTGACATCTGACAATAAGATGTGTGAGACACAGATATTTGACACTAAACAATGAGTCTGAAGTCTGGATGGTGACTGCCTCTCCTGTCAGAAAGATTGACAGTGGCAACGCGCGATAATTCTCTGAATTAAAACATTCGGCAGCTTCCGGTTCCATCAAAACACGTGAACGAGTTTTTGTATAGTAGTTCAATACCTAATATAAAATATTTCCATGTTGCAATATTTAATATATCTAAAACGAAGTTTTATTATTCTGGTGGATAAAAGGTAGTTAATGTATATAATGGTAATAATAACTATGATAATTATTTCAAAAGAAGATATTAATACAGCCCTTGCATTTAGTTACAAATATCATGTCTTTTTCGCCGTGAAGGTATTGTGATGAGGCGACAATCTGTTGATGCATTTATTTTCTTAAGGCAGGTGATTGATTTCCTGACTACTCTGGTGGATTTTCTTCTTTCGGTTAGTCCTGCCCTTAGAAGCTCTCAACCATGTGTCTAAATACTGAGAAGCCAATTTAATAAAACATCATCTAAGTTTACAAGAAACCAACACAAAAACGAAAGGCAGTATATTACAAGCAACCCGCGTTCAAAGGTCCTAATCGTGAAAATGATAATGTTCGAGATCAAACCTTTTCATTACTACGAGTAATAAGTATCTCATCTTCCATGATCATATGAATGCGGTAGTCAACGAAAATTGAAAGCGTATTCATATGCAGGTGTCCGAGGAGGAAGAGGCGAAACTATCAAAAAAGCTCTCAAAGCAGAATAGCCTCTTCTCTTGGAATAACTCTCGCGAATACGTCGAAGGAACAGTAACAGGGATTCCCGCTGCAGCGCTGTGGTGGAGACCCGCAGGCTCTCCCGCTCGGGAATGCCATTGTGAGTGGGACCCTGCTCACCCGCAAGGCTCCTTGGCCTCGCGCGGGGCGGAGGGGAGGCGAGAGGCAGATGAAAGCGGTGACTCAGCGAAAGCGAGGTGCTCGCCTGCACCGCGACAGGCAACAATGGCGTGATATAGAAGGCCAAGGTTGCAAGGATTCTGTATTTTTTTGGTACAATAAATCTTACGCCGATATCATTTGGCACAGATATCGCAAAATTGTATGAGCAGAAAAATAAAGTTGACCAATATATAAAGAGGTACACAAATATTAAGGTTGAATTATGAGGACGTACGCGGCGTACAATAATTGTAGATTCTTATTATGGATAAAAGAGCAAGTTATTTTTCATCTCTTAGTGTTTGTTTTTCTGTATTAATTCGAAAAGATTGGACACGATAGTTTGTAAAATGTCTCGCGGAGGATGGGTTATTAGTGGTGGCGGGTCTGATGGTGGTTGGGGTGGATGTGGGGTGGTTGTAGTGGTGGTGTAATGTTGGTGTGTAAAGTTGTTGGGTTGTGAGTGGTGGTAAGAGATAACGTGGTGGTGCTTGTAGGTGGTTGGGTTGTAGTGGTGGCTGTAGTGGTGGCTGTAGTGGTGTTAGTGGTTGTAGTACTGGTAGCGGTAGCGGTTGTTATAGTGGTTGTGGTAGTGGTTGTGATAGTGGTTGTGATAGTGGTTGTGGCTGTGGTAGTAGTAGTAGTAGTAGTAGTGATTGTGGTAGTGATTGTGGTAGTGGTAGTGATTGTGGTAGTGATTGTGGTAGTGGTAGTGATTGTGGTAGTGGTAGTGATTATGGTAGTGATTGTGGTAGTGGTAGTGATTGTGGTAGTGGTTGTAGGAGTGGTGATGGTTGCGGCGGTGGCGGTTGCTGTAGTTGGTGGTTCCCCGTGCTAGTCACGGACGGCGGCAGCGGCGCGGTGCCGCACCGGTCCATTCCTCGAAGTTATCTGCGCGCGGCGGCTCGCACGCCTTCTCCCGCGCGGCGAGGTCGTCAACCTTGGGGAACCCCAGTGCGGCTTCCCCGCGCGCAGAGAGCTATTTAACCCTCCTCGTTCGCCAGATGGGCACCAGTGCACCCGCAGCAGAGATCTCCGCCGTTGCAGCCCCACCCGCCTTCTCGACAGGTGAGTTCTTAATACTACCTGCCCTTTTACTGAGAAAGTTAATTCTTACTTAAGACAAAAAAATTGCTACCAAAATATTGAAAAAATCTAGCAATTTCATAGAGTATCATTTATTATTTCAACAGTATTTTCTATTTACTTGTGAATCTTATAATATCTTTAAGGAAAGAAAAATGTCACACAAAACCCCCACAGATTCAATCTGCTTGCTATATAATTTGTATACTGAAGAAAATCTTAAACCATTTTTGTGCACTTTACAATAGGCTCAGAGTACCTTAACACAATGATATATTTCGCTGATTGTTTTGTTGAACTAAATTCGAAAAGCGATGATTTCTGTTAATTTTATGTAACTTTTTCGATCTAACGAAATGAGAACATAGTTCCAAGAGAGTATTTTCTATTCAATTTTAACAGAATCAATTTGTTGTAATAAAATAATCACATTCTGTGTTACGATTTAACAAACTAAAACTTATATTTTAAATATAAATATGAAAAACGTGTATTTTAATTCAATAGAATCATTGTCACGAAGAGGATGCAAATAGAATGTTAGCTTTTTTGGAAGTCGGAATTAATACGTAAAGTAATTCTTAAATAGTTGTAGATTAATGTGAATATTTTTAGGAGAGGAAAATGCAATGGTAGTCTTCACTAAAAAGTAGTAGTGAGGGGAAAGGAAATAGACATAGTTGAAATGTTACCGTTGCGCTAGTATTCCAGACGTAAAGTACATTATGATGTATGTCACAGTATTATTTCGTAATTTCTAATTGCATAAATAATATTGAAGTTTATATGCAACTATTTTTTCAAGAATCGAAGTCTTGTTCTTGAAAAACAGATGACTGCGTGCAGTAAAAAGAAACGCTCCAAAGTGGCTTTACAGATGTTCAACATTAACTAGTTTTGCAATTAAACAAGTTCCAGAGGTAGAGTAAAGAAAAATCTACGTTTTTGCTCCGAGTGCAATTATTTTTTCTCGAATTTCTTTTCTATCAGCAAATTTCTGTTCTCTGAGCAATAATAAAATATGCCTTCATTACAAATATTATTTAAAATTTTTTTATACTTACATCAATATAGTTTAGAAAAAATATTTCTGTAAGAAAGATGTAGCTTTAAATAATTTCTGCACTAATGCCAATCTTTACTAGTACATGCACCCACTGACACCTTACAGACCCAGCTTGAGCGTTTCGGTTCCCAGAAGCTCACGGGTAAAACGAACAATTTTAATTTAAATTTTACCAGCATGTAATATGTTAGTTCTATTCTTTTAATTTTCCTGCATTATAATAAGCTATTCATCAAATTCACTAGGAATATAGTTGTTTCTATTGGTTTCATTATATTTAATGTGTTTATAATAACTGTCACATAAATTCAAATTAGAGGAAACATTTTGAGCACATAACTAGCATTATGATCTGAAATATATCCTTTAAATTGAACACGTATGATATTGAGCTCTTTCCGGCACACAGAGTCTTGTAATTAGCCAACCCTGTTAACAACTTTTTAATGAAGTGAGTGAATGAATGAATGAATTAATTAACGTTTTATACAAAAGAATGTCAAATCGCTAAGAAACTAAAATCCTAAAATACTGTGTCGGCCAATAGGTTGGCATGTGTTCAGACTGTAAATTAATTCAAATTAACAATATTTTTGTTGTTGTTGTTGCAGAATGAAGACCGCTGTGCTATTGCTGGCTGTTCTCTTGGCGGCCGCTGCCCTGGCTCGCCCCGCGGAGCCGGTAAGGAGACAACATTCACATTTGTCCCACATTCACTCAATTGCCCGCCATGATTGATTGATTAATTGATTGATTGGATTGATATGTGATTACGGGCGCGTCGACTGCTAACGTCATTATTCCCGTTAGTATAGTTCATTTTTTATTACGAGAAGTGGCGGTGATCTCACTCGATGGATGGTGAGATCCAGCGCCGAGCATCCGTTGGCTTACGGGATTTACTCCTAACCAGGTATCTCCTCCCACCAGCGAGGCACCGCCCCCGCCGGGACAAGCTCTAGGTTCCCGACCGGTCTTCCGGCATGTGTGCTAGTATAAAGCATCTAAGATTGTGTGTGTGTGTGTGTGTGTGTATGGGGCGAGGATAGGATAAGGAAGGGGATGAAAAAAACGCGAGTGGTCCGTGGATCGATCGTTAGGGTACTTCTCCGGCATTCGTTTGGTGTTGATCGGAGGAACCACAGAAAAGTAACGATATCAGCAGCGGGCTGCTATAATTTTCCTGTAGCTATTGAGCTTGAGACGAAAGTCCATGACACTGCAAGATAGTTTACATTTTAGGCCGTAGACACACAGACGCGATTTAACAAGCGTTAAAGAAGCACCCCTTGCAGAGTTTACAGACACAAATGAGGGCTTGGAACACAATTGTGCTGGACGATGTCTGCTTGGCTGTCCGGAGTACTAACATACGTGATAATATGAACGTTGTAAAGTCAGTAATTTGATGCTCGTGTGCCCGTAGCCTTAGGCAAGAGTAGTCTGTTTAGTGTACTTAATATTGAAAACGTGCTTTTAACGTGCTTCATATCTGCACATTAAAACTTAAAGAACATTATTACTTGTACAAATACCGAACAAATGACCTTAGCAATTGACATGCCCCTAATCGCTAATAAATTAGTCAATCACGAATCCATCGAGTCTCCAACCCATCATTACGTCATGAGTCTCCCATTATATAAGGCATCATTGATCACGAGTCGCCCATGGTGCAAGGCTGAATTCGCAATCACCGAGTCACCCATGTAGCAAGGCTGTATTGCATCACGAGTCACCCATGGTGAAGGCTGTATTGCATCACGGGTCACCCATGGTGCAAGGCTGTATTGCATCACGAGTCACCATGTGCAAGCTGTATTGCATCACGAGTCACCCATGGTGCAAGGCTATTGCATACGAGTCCCATGTGCAAGGCTGTATTCGCATCACGAGTCTCCCATGGTGCAAGGCTGTATTGCATCACGAGTCACCCATGGGTGCTAAGGCTGTATTGCATCACGAGTCCCCATGGTGCAAGGCTTGGATTGGCATCACGAGCACCATCGGTGCAAGGCTGGTATTGCATCAGAGTCACCCATGGTGCAAGTGTATTGATCACGATCACCGCCATGGTGCAAGGCTTGTATTGCATCACGAGTCACCACATGGTGCAAGGCTGTATTGCATTCACGAGTCACCCATGGTAGCAAGGCTGGATTTGCATCACGAGGTCACCCATGTGCAAGGCTGTATTGCATCACGGATCCCACATGTGCCAAGGCTGGATTGCATCACGAAGCACCATGGTGCGAGTGTATTGCCATCACGAGGTCACCACATGATACAAGGCTTAATTGCTTCCCGAGTTCACCCATGCGTGCAAGACACTATTGCATCACGAGTCGCCCATGGAGCAAGACTGTACTGCATCATGAGTCGCCCATTGTGCATTACGAATCGCCCATGGTGCAAGGCATCATTGCTCATGACTCCCCCATGATGCAATTCTTTATTGCCACATGAGTCCCCCCATGGTGCAAGGCAACGTTCTTCATGAGTCTCCCCAAGGCGGAAGGCTCTATTGCCTGACGAATCCCCGCTGAGAGTAGTGTGTGTTGCGTGCGCAGGAGAAGGAGAAGGAGGGGCGAGGCAGCGTGTCGGGGGGCGTGCACCGCGAGGACGGCGTGGGCACCGTCGTGCAGGCGCAGGGCCAGGGCAACGTATGGACCAGCAAGGACGGCAACTCGCGCGTCGACGCGCACGGCCAGTGGTCCAAGGTGGTGGACGGGCCCGGCCGCGGCAAGCCCGACTACAACGTCGGCATCAAGTTCAGCAGCTCCTTCTAGGCCGCCCAGCGCGCCTCAATAATGCAGAATAACTGAAAGGCTCAACAGTTCAAGGGGCTAATCTCACATTAACCTAGTTATGAGATATTGGAAGTTTGAATGGAACTTTCATTATATAACTCAGTATATTTAAAAACTTTTAAACACAGTACACTTGCATACAGGTTCATACTGGATTTCCATAACATATCACACTAAAATAATATTTAAAGTTATATTTAATGCTAATAACTTAATTTCACAAATCGTGCAGGATAGCCCCTTGTTCTACTGAGACAATTGTTGGCCATCGTTTTCATGCATTAAAACGACTTGTCTTGCCCGTAGTTCTTTCATCATTTGGATGATGACATTTGCACTTCCAATGACGTTGCCATCTCATTGTTTTTATAAATGTGTGTATAATGTGTATATATGATAGTGTAAAACTTTGTAATGTTTTCATTAAATGTTTAAAAATGATCTATCTCTTTGTTTTATTTTTTGCATATTAAAAAACACAAAACTTACATAATAATATTAATGCCGCATTCTCATTTGTATTGAAAACAAATACAAGTTATGTCAACAAAAATTATTGTATTATAGCCATTCCTATAACATTTAGATAAATTATTTTCCAAGTATCACTTGAGTTGTATCACACTCTGAAAGTTTGAGTTGTTTTATAACTTTTGCAATGGAACAACTCAATACTAAATTGCAAATCACTCATTGAATCCGAGGAAGAAACTTTTTCTTATTCAATGTGGTCCGTTGTTCTATTTGCTTTAGCAGTTGGCAGTAGAGAAAATACGCAGAGTTCAACTAATTTGATGAACATGTTTTATCAAAAATAATCAGCGCTTGTTAAAGAAAAGGTATAAACTTAAACCCTACAGTCCCTTAAACCCTACAGTCTATACAAAGACAATCACATATATTTTTAATATCACGAAATACTAAATTTTTTCACAGTAATAGTATAATGTAGGTCATCAGCGATGTTTAAGAGCCCATATTTCTTATTCTTCAAATGAAATTTGAGTTCGAATTATAAATTCACCAAATTCCCTCCCTTGCGCTGATTAAAATACTGACATAACGGAAACCTATCCTTTAAAAGAGCGGAAATAATACAGTAAGCTACAACCTGTGTTATCAGCAGAGAACCACAAATACAAAGGAAACTTGAATGCCACGGTAATACTGGAGTAAGGTGAGAAATAAAAAAAATCGATACGTGTTCCGCAAAGGATTTTCCAACCACCTCACCACAACAAAAGCGATTAAATAGCGGTGATAAAAACTAGATTACCCGAAACTCATCCAAATTAATGACCAAGAAAATTACAAAAAAATGTCTGAAAGCTTTGTCAAATAATATTTAACTATTGCTGACATTAGTCCTACGTATTCCTTCTCACTAAATTCGTCAAATTACTAGTAATGTTTAGGTGTTGAGAAAATTCCAGCATCAGATTAGTAGAGATTTTTTTAAACATATTTTATACAAACACATTCCTCCGATACGCGATAAAATGTTCGTAAAACCTAACTTGTGTTTTAAATTTGATCTAATGAACAAAAAGATCATATATTATTGTCTTCAATAATAAATTGAATACAATGAAAATAACCTACAAATGATAGAAAAACAGTGTTATGTATTCAGGAATAAACAAAAATTGTGAAGTTTGTGTCAGTAAAACATAATTTTTACAATAAATCAACAGTGTAGTAATAGTTATTTTTAAAAGATATCTATATTAATTTACACTATAAAATTATGTTTTTAATAAAATGTATTTTACGCTGTTATAGAAATGTTCACGTGCAATAACAATACTAATTTATTTTCGAGGATTAATGATCATTTGCAAGAACTTCTGTTAATAATTTGTCCTCACTAACGTTGATTTTCACATTTGTAGGAAAATGGCATGCATTATTACTTCGCAAGAAAAGAGGTCAATGTAAACACTCCAGCAATAAATATTTCCAGTATTGCTAGATATTCCGGATGTAATGCAAACTCATATGTTTGTCCTCGGAACGATATTGGTGGTTATTTCTGGAAGCAGGATAGAATTCTCTTCAGAGCAAGATGTAAGAATGTGCTGTAAGAATCTAAAGGTGGCCGTGTACTAAAAAACCATTAATAAGGTTTTAACACGGACATATATTGCATTGTAATATGCCTTTTTTTAAAAGTATGTAATATGACAAAAGTAGTACTAGTAATCATTCAAAACCACCCTGAGTTTTGATCAAATTTTTCAAATTTTCCTTAGAGAAAAGATGAATTGAAGATGTATGGTCACTATTTTTTGTATTAAACATTCATTGAGTTATCAATAATGCATAATGGACATTTTAAAACATATGGATTGAATTAATTATGCTACACATATTATAATGATGTTACATCAATGAAATCATCATCATATATTAATATTATAATCGTTACATCACCGGGAATCTATGTAATTAGGAGTGTTCTGTTTATTGAAAAATTGAAACTGTTATGGAAAGTAGGTTTAAAATATATTTTTGTGTCTAAAATATCAAATAAAAATGCATATGGACAAATTATTTCATTCAGAAAATTTAATTTAATTAAAAATTAACAACCATGTCTACATGATAACTAATGTGAATTAATTATTTCGTTTTTACGTGTGCCTCAACTGCCCATTCCCGTAAATGTAGTGTATATTTATCTTTGGTGGTAGTGGTGATCTTCCCAAATGAATGGTGAGATCTGACGCCGACCTAAACGTCGGTTAGAGGGATTTTCCCCAACAAAGTATCTCCCTTCAGCGGTACATCATCCCATACCACCAACCCATCGTTTGAAGTTATGAGTAACAGAATTGGTGGAAATTTGTTGGTATAGTTGAGATCGAAAAACATTGGTAAATGCAACTGGGAAACCACAGTACTCCCACTAAATTAATCTTTTGGAAGTTGTGTTTTGACTACATTTCCAGACTTGTCTTTAGATTATTTATTTATTTTGCCGTTGGTGAAATATTAATTCAAATAAAGTGTAAAATACAATTGTTAAAAACATATTCAATTGTTCTAGGTATTATATTTTTTGTTTATTTTTTACTTAACCTTTTTCTGCTACTGTTAGTTTACTAAGAAAATAAAATGATTAAACCTGATATAATTAATCTATACATATAATTTCACACTAGTTACTCATTTATATTGCAAAATATTACACAAAATTGGCCTAATATTAAAATGCGACCGCTATCATGTCTCAGATTTCTAATATGGCCCTCGTGCCTACTTAAGTTGGAAACCTTTGCTATAGAGTATTTGATCAAATGTAATTTAACTTGCTGTAGTAGTGGCTAAAAGTTAAAATAATATATGGTATTTTGGATTCAATATCATTATTCGTCGTTTGTTCAATGGAACTTCGACTTGAATCCATATTTGAAGTATGATTTAGGTAGAAGAATTATAAATAAGCAACTGATAGTAACCAAACTTCCGGGAAGAAAGAGGCTTTGGTTGGCTATCGACAACTCTACACGTAAGAAGTCTTCAAACGTGAATTGCACATGAAACCTATGCCAAAAGAAATACACTCGTACGTTTTTTAGTAACCCTTTCAATTGGTGTGTGCTTTTAAACTGATAGTTTTGTGGAATTCTATACGTAAGTACACATGCTATTTCTTACACAAAAGTCAAAATATTGTAGCATAATATTTGTGGTCTTTTGAATCTCGACATTTTTTATTGTGTCTTTTGAATTCCGAATGTTTTTTTAAATGTTTGAATGAAGAGTCTTTATTACAGGAAAGAAGTTGAATGAAATAAGTTTACATCCTTTTATTTTATTTTATTTTAGTGTGATCTATTTTCTATTGTTTGTGCCATTTCCCTGATTTATAACAAGCATTGTTTGTGGTTAATATTTGAAGAATTTGACGCTCTCAATTTACTAACAGTAGAAAACACCTTAATCTCAAATTATTTGATTTGACAGAAAGGTATGATAAATTTATTCATTACTGTGAGTGTTTGCGTAATAACTTTTTGCGTAATAAATTAGTTAAACTCTTTGCATATTTACATTATTCACTGATAAATTTGTTTTCGTTTATATAAATAAAAATGCGTGTCCCTAATAATATTTAAAAGTAATGTTAAAAACAATGGAAACACAACAAAAAATACCTAGTTTCAGTTTGTTGGTTACCGTCTTTACAACTGCACTTTTTTTAAATTTTATTTTGCTTTAAAGACAGTTAAAACAGTGTGTGACTCAATGGCGATATATTGCACTTGCAAATATTATTAGTTAATAACCATTTAATTAAATTAATTATTATTAGTTAAATTAATTAATAGCCATTTAACATGAATCAATAGTTCTCTGATAGATACTTACTCTATAAAATAGGATATTTTATAGTGCAAGTATATGATTTCATAAATTGTTTAAAAATGTGTTTATTTTCTGTAATACTTATTTCAGGATTAAGATGACAGCTCTCCTGTTTACAACATTGTAGGTATTTGTACAGAACCTCTAACTGACTAAGGTGTTTTTTTCTTTATTCTTAGGATGAGAACGTTTGTCTTCTTCACTCTTAAACTTACGTTGGCCACGACGATCCTGTGTCTTTTACAATCTCAACATATGCTTGGTATAGCTTACGAAGATTTTGTTGATGAGGACTGGAAATTAGAAAGTTCTCTCAAAACTGACAGTGAGAAAGCGGCATCCCGTAATGATTACTACAACAGTGAACATCAGGTAAATTTATAAAAAATCATTAACTCTCTTAAAATATTCTCACATTCCAATTCTCAACGTGCCCAAATAAATATCAAAACGGGTGCGTTTGTTATACATTCCGAATGTTTCAAATGCTATAAAACGAGACCTGAACATCTGTGGTTTTCTAACATTACAAGATTTTAATGATCATCTGTTCTAAAATTCGAATTTTAAATAATAGACTTCAAAAAAAAATTCTATGAAGTAGTTCTAGGAGGATTCCGAAAATGTATCAAACATTGCAATTTTCTAAATTCCACAGAAGCCAACGAAACTCGCACCTGCGTTATTTTTAGAACCGCTTAAACCAACCCTTAAACCAAAACAAATATTAAATATACAGAAAAAATAAAATATCCAAAAGATTGGAAACATTTTTGTTAAAAAATTAAAATGTTTAAACATCATTTAATGTATCTTCAGAATCCAACCACCATTTGAATTTCAAGGAATAGGAACATCAGTCAATTCGATTGCGAAGTATCAATTTTGGTGAAATTCTGTCTAGCGGGTAGAGTTCAAAACGTTTTGTATCAAACAGATTTTAAAAATATTTGAATATTATTATTTATTTATCAGTCTGTAACAAAAATAAATTATTCCAAATAAACAAATTCCAATTTAAC